TATGTTGACTGGAAAGGCAGTTTTTTGACTAAAAACATCTAATCATTTCTTAAAAGAGAAAATTTTAAGCTTCAATTTAGAGGAAAAATATATTTTGTTAATCAATATTATCCAATTTATTATTTGAATACCAATACAACTCAATTTAATCTTTTTATTTCATAATCCAAAGGTCTTTGCATAATCTTATTATCAGATTAGTTTACCAAGTAAATATCGATTGTGATATTATATTTTAAATTTAATAATTTTTATAAAATCCTCACCTTTTCCAAATTATGAATTTGAAACCTTAGTGAATCCTTGATGATGTTTTCTAAAATTTTTCATCAAATACTTTTTATTTTCATATTTTATTTTTAAACACTTTATGCATTAGTGAACCAGATGATTATTAAGTTTATTTATGCCTCATTCTATGTTATTAATTAGGGGTGCCTACAGTTTGATCAGTTTATAGGTTGATTAAAAGATAAATCCTCCTTCCTTACCTTAATTACATCACTGCAAGCATTTGAAAAATTTTTCAATGACAAATGTTCCTCTTTCTAAGTTTATCATCATCTTAGTTATCATTTATCCTCCGCTATTATTAGATGCATTTACTATATCGCAAATGTAACTTTATTATAATAACTAGTACGATAATTTAAAGAAATATTCATATTTGATTCTAATTAAATGATTTGTGTGTAAAATAAATGAGGAACATCATAATTAATTTTTTTTTCATAATTATAGGGTCTAATATATATTTAGAATAGCATGGAGTTTCTGATTTTCATGTATCAAAGCTAGTGCGATATAATTTGATTGTAAAAGAAAAGCATTTAGGTGCAACTTAAAAAAAAATCAATACAATATAAAATTAAATTAATATAATTCTTTGATAGAGTCTTGTAATAAGGAAAATATTATTGTTAAGTATAATATCATTCTTTAAAACAAAAGTAAAATTATAAAACCTCAAATATAAAAAGATATGAAAATAATAATTATGCCTTAATAAAAACTATTGAAAATTTTAATTTAGCAATGTTAGCTTCTTTAAATTGATATTAAAGAAGCTAATATCAAGTCAATTTATGATAAACTTCTAAAATTTTGACTGTTTTATAAGAATTAGAAGAATAATAGAGATTTTTGAAATAATAATTCATAAATAGATAGGATAAACGTAAAATAATACTTATTACTGGAAGTAATATTTTATTTTTATGAAAATTAATAAAGAGTCAACCCATTTAATTATTCTATAAATTAAACATTGTATTCATAATTTTATCCAATTTTACTCAAACTGGTTTAAAATTAAATATATTATATCAATTACAGATGAAGATAATTATAAATTTATAATAAAATATATTATGAATTCCAAATTGATTGAACAATTTTCATATTAGATATTGGAATTTAAGTATATAAACTAGAAAATTGTAATAAAATCTTCCTTTTTCATATAAGTTTATTCATGGATTAATTGATATTTAACACAGTAAATGCTGGTAGCAGGATCTCAAAATCATAAATCAAAAATGATAATTCAAATTATTAATATTTCAACCCACAAAAGAGTAAATAAATTATATTTAGAGAGCAATTGTACTTCTAAAAGTACTATGCAATAGAGATAAGGAGGATTAATAGATTGATTATACCTTAAAATTGAATATTCTTGCAATAAGGATAATATTTTTTGAAAGTGATTTATATTTTAAATGTATTATTTTAAAAAAAATATGTGATTATAAAATTTATTTTGAAAACAAAATATATTCCTATTAGTTTTATATAAAGAATTTAATTCTATTATTTATAAGCAATTTTAGTTATTATTGAAGGCTTTAGTATGCACAAATTTGAGCCATATAGCAAAAATTGGAGTAATGTTATTTTCACAACTTAATGCACCTGAGATGGCATATTCAGAAAAAATTTCGAGAAAAAATTATTAGAATTTTTGCCTTTTAAAATTGTTTATAAATTAGAGAACATAATAAGAATTCAAGTCAAAAATTTTAAGTCGAGATTTTGAGATTAATATTTAGCTTGTAAATATTAAATATAGAATTGAATGAAATTAAGATTCTAAATTAATTTAAAAAGCTGAGAAATTAAATAAATTTATTGCAGAAAACACATTATTTTTTAAAGAGTAATATTTACATGATCAAACAAATAATGATGACTGCTAGTAATTAATTGATAATATTAGTCCTTTTGATTTGTGATAATTTATAAAAAATTTAATTTCATTTTAGTTCAATATTAATATTTTTAAATACTCCTTTAATAAATTCTTTAATGATTTTTTATCTAGGCTTAAAATATCTGACTATACATTTAAATAAAAATGTTGGCTTTCATTTTTAAGCGAATAATTTTTTAATTGAACTTTGATTTAAAATATTTTCAATCATAAAATGATTGAGCTTGATTATATTTTACAAAACTAAAAAACTTATTTACATTTAGTAATTTAACACTGAAAAGAATTTATTACTAATATTAAGTAAATGATACAAATTATAAGGATATTGAATAAAAATTAATACCGCATAAAACTATTATTTTAGATGTATTAATTGAAAAAATAATATAAGTAATGTCTATTTGACATAAGAGTTTTGATTAATATCTAGCTGACTATTTGAAAGCAATATGGACAAATCTAAGATTATATTATATAAAGAAGTTACTGAAAAAGTGAAATTAAACAATAAAAACAATCATTAAAAATCAAAGGCTTATAATAAGATAGGTTATACTAATGTGGTCTATTCTGCATGATAATAAAATAGAAATTTTAAATTATAGGAAATATATTAAACTGATTAATCAATAATTTTTCTTTAGAAATTTGAAAATGAAGTTCAGTTTATATCTTATAGAGTCCAATAATTAAAGAAATAATAAATGAAGTCAAACTAGATAAAAATTATAATAATTCCCAACCTCTTCATAGACTATATAATTATCTAAGTTAATAATAAAAATTACTAATTATTATTATTATGGTTTAGATTATATTAAATTTTAAGCATCATAAATCAAAATTACTTTTTATGTAGTAATATTATTATTTTATATTTAGATATTGATAATGAAATTAGGAAACGAAAGTGTATAAGATATCAATTATTTTTAATAAAATGAATTAAAATAAGACAACTTTTTGATTCAACAGTATTGTATTTCACAAGAACAAAAGAGGATATGATGCAAAATAAATCATTCTCAATTACTTATTTTAGTAGATAAGGTGAATTATTTCAAAAAAATAAAAATACACTTGAATATAACTTTATACAATAAGTATAAATGTAAGATTTAAAATGAAATAATGTTTGCCTCTCTAATACTATCTATTTAGGAATATTTAATATATTTCAAATAATAGACACATCATTTTCATATATTAGACTCCAATCTAATTAAAATAATTATGGCAGGAATAAATACAGAATTAAGAAAAACTTAGTATTATCAGGTGATATTCTTCTTTTTTTTCCAAATAATATTAACCATCTTAATATATATAAAGAAGAATTAATTTTTGATTTATTTTAGGATTATTGGATTAAACCAGAATTATATAATAAAATTTATAAACATTATATATTATTTCTACAACATCACTATTCATCAATTCGAAAATAATTTATATTATCTTAACCACTTTTCATAAAATGTCTCAAAATTTATCATCTTTCATTATGAAATTCTAAATTAAAATAATTAAATGTAAATATTGAAAGTCTATGTTAAATCTACTAAAAGGGAATGGTCAAACAATTGTTATATCAATTTATAAAAAATGACATTCAATTTAATTATATTTGATGATTGTAATTCTGCTTGAATAGAAGTGAATAAGTTAAACTTATACATAATAAATAATATAATATATTTCTAATTCAGTTTTCATGTTGCATTTTTTGTGAAATAATTTCCCAAGATCTAAAAATAAATCTAAAACATCTTATTTATTTACAAAAATGTATATTACATAATAATAAATAATTATGTTTTATATTATATTGGATAATTATGAGATCAAAAAAACGATGAGGTTTTTGTTTCAAAACAAATTTTTGACTTTTTGGAATTCTAATTACTAATATTAATAAACTTAATATATATTTTTTTTTTAAATTAAGTAAATTTATTCCTTGATGATGTCGCAATTGGAGTCATCAGATAAACTATTTTCTCCGATACTTTCTCTTACCTTTGTTCTTAAAGAGCAAGATGGGAACATAAATTAAACTGAATTTAAATTATAAAATAGAATTCTTCTATAACGATGTCGTGATAGACTATTTTAGTGAAGCTAATTTGAATTCAAACCTAGTTAGATCACTTGTTGTGTTACTTACGGATCTGTTGGTATTTGTAATGAAATCCATATTTTATTGAATCATATATTGCAGTAACAACATATAGTTAAAAATAATTTAGCAAATTTGCAGTTATTATTGTGATTATTGCTATTATGCAAATAACTAATGTTAATAACTTACCTATGCTAATTTTACAACTCCTGCACCAAGCAAATTTGTAATGCTATTGTTTATTATTGAAGAAATTTAATAAAGGAGAATTTTTGGATAATAGTATAATGGATAAATTTAGAAATTAGAGGATATAGAATTTCAACTCTTTTGTATGTTAATCATGAATTTCAAATTTGATGAATGTAGAATTTATTGAATTCTACTAAATGAAATACTCGTATTGATTATTAAAGAAAATCAAAATTAAATGATGAAATTTATTAAATTCTGATGGTAAATGTTATATGTTTCAAAATTGAATTTTAATTTTGAATAATGTATTCGTATGCGATAAAAAAATTTATAATCTGAAAATAAATTAATATTAGATAGAAATCAAAGTAAATAATTTAAAATTACCTATTTTTAATAAAACTCATTATTAAATACCTTATTGCACCTAATATCGTACAATAAAAGGTTTTATAATTAACTCGTAACATGAAGCTAAAAGCATCTTTCTAATTCATATAATAGTTCACTTAGATCGATTAATTAAAAAATAATCTTAATATTAAAAATAGTGTTTATTATGTATTATAACCATTTTTATAAGTCTTAATGAGCTATATATATGATCATAACTATCTATGATTTAAGAGGAAAAATTGATAAAAAATAGAAATATATGATAAATTAAGACCCTAATGAAATTTGGATTTATCTAACTATTATTATTTTAAAGTATTTTATCATTAATAATGATCATTTTTTTCATTATTATTATTAAGCCACTATTTTGATTCTTTATAATGCAATGTCTTAAATTTGTTTATTAAAGTATAATGATTCAACAGTATTTATCTTACAATAGATATCACTATTATAATACTTACATTCTTTTTGGCTAAATTATGTTATTCTTTCTTAGATTTCTCTCAGTTAGAAAATTTGAATTATTAATATTTATATTTGGTTAATTTAAAGATGTAATAATGATAAAATATATATTAATTTCCATTTATATTTGATTCTTTAATATACTGGGAATATATAACCTGGTTTAGCAGTAGTGTATATATATCAAATCTATTCAACTGAATAAAACAAAGAACAATGTGAGATAGAATACTTGTTTACAATAGATTAAAATTCAGCTGTTACTAAGATGATAGTTGAACTTGGAGATTAAAAAGTTTATGGAGTTATAAAAGAATTAGAAGAGGCAAAAAAAGAATATGAAAAGGGAATAAAAGAAGGAAAGACAATGGTATTAAGCTAAGAAGATTCAAAAATATCAAATATCAAAAAAGTTAAAATTGGTTGTTTGAGTCCTGGTAAATCATTAAAAATTTAATTTGAATACATCCAACAATTATAAGTATTTCTGAATTAATTTTGGAAATTAGAATTGTCTTCTATGATAGATACAAGTTATCTTGCAGTTAATGAATTAAAGAACACATCTACAAATTATGCTTAATAATATTCATTTGTGAAAAACCATGTCAACATTTAAGCAATGAAATTAAATTATAAGTAAAATATTACTGTAATAATTAATATGGAAAAACCGATTACATATGCTAAATCTCCAACACATTCAATTTTATTAAATTCTGATATTAATGTCAAAGAAAAATAAATTGATTTATAAACTCCTTAGAACTAATTAATTATTACTTTAGATATGAATGATCCTGAAAATATGGCACCAAATAAAAAGTTTGAATTATTATTTTCCTCCAATGATGTTAATAACCCTTTTGCAATACTAAGCCATACAAATAATGATGCTTTATAACACATCAAATATTGTGCAACTCTAACCCTCATTCCAAAATTTAATGAATTTCCAATAGATGATGCTTATCAATCATATCTAAATGGTTTAAATTTATCATCATAGGCAAAAATTTAAAAGGGTTGTTATATATTTTTTATTGATCGTAGTGGTTCAATGGAAGGCATAAGAATTGAAAAAGCCAAACAATCACTGATAC